ATTTTAAATTGCTACCACCTAAATCAGAGTTTTTTAAAAATCACTACCACTTGACAGACACCGTTACTATTTCCGTCACCACCATCCAACAACCGTCCAGCCACCACTCCTTCCCACCCACCACTTCTTCTCACCCACCAGCTCGCCGCTGTTCAACATCAAACCACCGCAACCACCACTCATTGTCCAGCCAACCGTCCGTGACTCCGACCAAACCAGCCACCAGCGAACAACTTTCTTGCTGCCGACCAGCCACCACAACGAACTCCCTTTCCCTTTCCCCGTTCTCGCAGCCCCGACCCGCGACTCCAACCACCCACCCTGTCGGCGCCGGTGTCGCGTTCCCAGCCCCCTCTCTCCCCTCGAAACCCCCCTCGATCCCAGCCCCTCTCCCCTCAAAAACCCGATCTCAGCCCCTCCTCGTCCCCCGTTCCCTTTTCTGGCCGCGACGAAGGAATTCCCTGCCACCCAAAACCACCCTACGCGAAACCCTAAAACTACGTTTAGGGTTGTTTCGGGCAGGGAAATAAGGGTTAGGGTTGTCGGTTTTGGGTGGGGAAGGGGAGGGGTTCGATTCCGACGCTGGCCGCCGCATCTTTGGGCGCTGGCCGCCGGCAGGGGGGAGGGGGGGAGGGTGGCTGACGGGGAGGGCTAGGGTTTTTTTGGGTGGCTGGTTTTTATTTTTTGTTTTTTTAATTTTTTTAAAATTTTTTAATTTTTTTAAATTTTTTTTTTAATAAACTTAACGGAAATCCTAACGGATTCCGTTAAGTGGTAGTGATTTTAACAGTTAGTGTGTTTGTGTGGTAGTAATATAAAATAAAAAATTAAAGGGGTAGCAAATGTGAACACGGGTGCTTTCCCTAGTAGCAAATGTGAAATTTTCCTATGGAATATGGTAAGCATATCATATGTGCTTTTGACATCTTTCAAAGAACTAAAGTTGAAGAGATCTAGAGATAAACTGTATGGACATGGTTTGCAGTTAAATGTCCAGACCAGTGCTTATGTAAGCATACTTCTAAAGATCAAAACAGGCAATATATCTCCATCCACCTTCCCCCTCCCACTCCCACCCTCCAAGCAAAAGAATAATTAATTTTTTAAAAACAAACAGCAACCTTGAAAAAGCAGCATGAGGTATACAAAATATAGTTAAAAATAAGGATGCAGCTTTGTAAAAGGGGGAGGAATGAAGGGGAATTGAGAACACTTATTCAGACATCTCAAGCACATCTTATATTAATACTCTTGACATTAAACAGCATGCCTCACCGAGTCGCCCAGCTGTCAACCAATGTATTTCGTTTCTTCTTTATTTCTGACCACATAGCACCTTCTTGTCTGCGCTGTGCCTCCTCCATTAAAATCCGGCAATGCTCTTCCTCCCTTTTCTTCTCCCAGCTGGCTAACCTTTGCTGCAAGTAGAAGTTCAAAACAGTTGTAAATATCAGGGATACATTATCCTCACCATCAAAAACAACTAATTATGTAATATATCAGCCATTTGGCATACATGATATTACAAGGTGTCATATCACCTATCACCTAGAAACCATACTTCGCCAATCCATCTCTTTTTCTCATACTTCGCCAATCCGGCAATGCCCTTCCATCTCTTTTTCTCATACTTCGCCAATCCATTTTTTCTTCAACAAACAAAGCATCTCCTATCACCTAGAAACCACATCGTAGGAATCAAAAAACTAGTACAATCGAGAGGGCTCGGACAATGAGTTACAAGGTGTCAAGGTATGTCCTAAAACAAATAAATTTTTCTCACCCTCTGTCGCGTACTCTTTTTCTCACCCTCTCTCTCTCTCTCTCTCTCTCTCTCTCTCTCTCTCTCTACCTCTCTTTCTTTCTCTCTTCCTGACCTCTCTTCTCTCTCGGTGTGCCGACTCCTCTCATCTCTTCTTCTAGCTTGCCCTTTATCCCTTTTTTCTGTGTCATGTCCCATTTTCACTCTCTCGACCCCCCTCTCATAACCGGCCCTTCTTTAACTTGGCTTCTTCTCTCTCGACACATCCCTTTATCCATGCTCCTCTCTTGCTCTCTCCCAGGCCATGTTCCTTTTTTCTGTCTATCTCTTCCTTTCTCTTCCTTTTCCTCTCCCTTCCCCTCCCCCTTCTCTCTCTCCCCCCCTATTCTTCTCCTTTTAATCTCCCATTCCCTCCACGTCAATCTTTATTCTAAAGTTTGAATTTTTTGTTCTAAATGTATTATTAATCATCTATACAAACTATCACATTAATATTAAGTTTTGAGCACATAAAATTGGAAATTAAGTGACCATCTCTCTCTTTTTCTCACCTTCGTACTACTACAAAAAGGGAATAGAGAACAGTTTAAATAGGCCTTATAAAACACATTAGAACTGTTCTTGTGTTAAGCAATGTATAAAGTTTATAGAACGGGTTAAAAAATCATTTTGTATGCCGAATTATACCGAACGATCTTCAAGAACAACTATTCTCTTTTCTCTTCTAATAATTCTAAAATAAAGAAGGAATTTGCAACGAATATCCTACTTAAGTGTAGCAAAGAGTACCTGGTTGAGCCAACCGTTTTTTATTCTTCTTACTTTTTATAAAAAAAAAAAAAAAAAAAACTATTTGGTCTCTCTTTTTTCCATCTTCCTTTACATTTTAACACATGACTTATGTGAAAAGTATTGTAAACCCTACTCGATTACTACTAAATTAAAGATAATACTCTCTTAAGAATTTTTCTTCCTTTTCTCCTTTCTTCAAATCCATCGCTATTTTACCTTCTTTATTTCGTATTCCCATTTTTTTTCCCTACCATCTTCCACCCCCATAGTATCTAAGTCTCTTACACATTTAAACACTCAAAATGGTCTTTTGAATTGTTTCTCACCTCTTCCTTCTTGTATTGCCCTAAATCCCCCCTTCTCTCTTCCTCCCCCCCCCTCCCCCCCCTCCCCCCATTATTTTTAATGGCTCTGAAAATTATAGATCAAATTTGTTTCCATATCACTCATTCATTCCTTCTCGCCCCTTACTCTTTCTCTTAGTCTCTTTCTTTCTTTTTAATTCTTCTTGTCCCTATTCCATCCTCTAAAAGGTTTTGAAAAGTATAGATTACACTTGCTCCCCTTCCCCCCAACTCCTCCCCTCTCTCTCCCCCGTCCCCTATAGTTTTCTTAGCTTTTCTCTATTTGCCTCACTCTTCCACCCTCTTTATCTCTTTCTCTCTGGACTTCTCTCTCTCAACCCATCTCTCTCCTCTCCTAGCCTCTCTTTTCCTTTATTGCTCTATTTCTTTCTCTTGCAACCCTTATCGCTTTCTCTTGGCCCTTTTTTCATTCTCTCTTGATTTACTCGTTTTTTCTCCTAACTTCTCTTTCTATCTTTCTCTTTTCTTCTAGCTCCTCACTCCTGGACCTTTTTTTCTCACTTTCTATCTTTTTCCCTACCCATATTTTTTCTCTCTTACCTATCTCCACTCTCAGTGTTCCCCCCTCCTAGCTTACCCTCTATCCATTGGCCCTTTTTTTTTGTCTCTTGGCCCCTTTTCTCTCTTCGACCCCCTCTCTCATTCCCGGCCTCTCTCTAATTCGTCTTCTTCTCTATCGACACATTCCTTTGTCCATGCTTCTCTCTCTCTTTCTCTCTCTCTCTCTCTCTCCATCTCCATCTCCATCTTCTTCTCATTTTTATCTCTCACCCCCCTATCATGATTCTAAAGGTTGAATTTTTTGTTCTAAATAGGCAATTCAGTGACCATATCTTTCTCTCTATCTCTCTCTTTCGCATAGGCAATCAATCATATAGCATATTTTTTATACATGGAATAAAATTGCTTTTGTCATCTCCAAAAAGAAATATGGGTCTTATTAATTAAAGAATGAACTGTGGGTTTTATTAACTCAAAATCTACTCTTATTAACCCTAACAAAACATTAAACATATATAATCATGAAAATATATAAAGTATGCATGTCTAGTTGGTTTCGACCGAAACTAAGGGCATGTTCACATTTACTCAATTTCAGTTCAGTTGAGCTCCTAATTTCCCTCTCTCATAAAATATTCATTTCAGCTCAACTCAGTTCGGTGCATTTCAGTTCAGCTCCAATCAGTTCAGTTCAGCTCCAATCAGTTCAGTTCAGTTCTTTCAGCTCTAATCAATATCAATACAGTTGAGTTCCATAAATGTGAACGGGCCCTAAGTTGCTCAATTGGACATGTTCAATTTCTGACATATTAGGCAATGTCATTTTTCTATTTTTAAAGAATATTACCCTGTGTATGTTTGAAGCTTTACAACAATGTAAAAAATTAATGCAAATAGCTTCCTTCGTTACTGTAAACATAATAAGTATACTTTTTTTTTTATTGTAACATTAATGCAAAGAGAGCGCAACACATTTGTCTCTTTTTCTTCACCTTTCTTTTCTTTTCTTTCCTTTTCACCTCACTTTTAGTTTTTATGTTTTACAAATTTAAGAATATCTTCATTAAAATTCGTTTAAAACATTTTTATCTTTGAAAATTCTATGATGGTTTTACGAATACTAAAAAGTCATTTCATATTAGCTCTCCCCTATCCTTTATTTTATCACCAATTTGTTTTCAAGTTCTTCTAATATATTTATCCGTCTTATATAGCCTTTCTCTTATATTTCTTCCTCGTCTTATCTCATTTCCCTTTTCTATCTATATATCCCTTGGCTTCTTTCACCTTCTTATTCCTTGTTTCTCCTTCCTATCCACTCTTCTTTTGTTGTTTGAGCAGTTTAGTAATTTCTCTCCCAACCTTTCTCTGTTCCTCGACTCATCTACCCCCCCCTCTCTCTCTCTCTCTCTCTCTCTCTCTCTCTCTCTCTCTCTCTCTCTCTCTCTCTCCTCCCAGTCTCCTCGTCCTCTCTCCCTCTCCTCCTCCCTCCATCCTTCTTCCATTCTCTTCCTTAAAAAAATTTTAACGCAAAATGGAAACTGCATATATTACATTACCGTGAGTTAAATCCCAAAAAGTAAACAAAAAGACAGAGTTTTTAGTTGAAAGCTTGAAGCATCCAACAAAATATAGATATAAGTTATACAAGGCCAGCAAAAAGATAACAATAAACAACCTAAAAACTATCTGGATACACAAAAGGATAGCAATAAACAACCTTGATGCTATGTGAGGACATAAAAAGATAGCAATCAACAACCAGCTAAGACCTAAGGAGAGTTATCTGTAACAAACTAGCAGTTAATGACTTGTAATAAAATCGAATTATGCAATAAAGATTCAATCTTGGGGAAGATGGACAGCTTTTTGATTAACTTGAAAATGGAAATGGCAAACAAGAGTAACTTGAGGCTACTAGTCTCTATTTAGCACCTTTAGGGCACCACTCTCTAGTCCTAGAAAATTACTATGGTCATGCCTAACCTGCCATTCCTACCCTCCCTTTCTTATATATACACAAGCTGACAAAAGAAGGACAAAACAAAGATGCAGCAGCTGTCATGATCTCAGGGGGTGCCTCACTGATTTGGTGGTGACTGCCCTGCTGTCACATTCCTTGACAGACCTCCCCTCATTGGCTCCTCATTACTTGGCTGACCCCTCCTCCTTCGCACATAAGTAATCAAGCCACGGTCCTTAGGAGTTAGTGCACTCGTCACATTATCATCAGGGATCTCATTAGCATAGACATCAAATATGCCATTTGAAGAGCAAGTAGTGAAGCTGCAATGGTACAATCTGAGCTACTGAGATCTTATTATCCTAATTCCTAAACAAAACAAATTGATCATATTCACAGATTATACAATATTACACTACATCAAACACACGATCAGAAGATAATTTACAAAGAATATAGAATATAGAAGTTTCTTGACATAAAAAATGAATATGAACATGTATAAAATAACAAGACAATAAGCTACCAAGCTCAATTTTATTATTATAATCATTCACAATGTTTTAAGTTCTACATTATTTAAAAGTACATGCAACATTGTTAAAAGTATATCATTTGTATCCAATAGCGATAAACCTAATAAAAATGTTCTTCAAATAGTAAATATCCCAATAATAGTTGAACCTGTCCAGCACGTTTATGACCCTAAGTGCAGTCAACAATTCATGTCATGTGAGCCCTTTTTGATGGAAGGTCAGCCAATCCCATCCAAAAATATTCAATCAGAAAGTCATTGCAAAGAATCGCAAATTTAAATTAATAACGGTAGGGGTCTATGTTACTCGGTCTTCACACAATTTATATAGTCAACAAAGCTGATAAAGAAAATCTACATGGGATTCGAACCCATATCATTTGTGCATTTACACAACACTCTTACCAATTGAGCTAATAGGCTTGTTTTCTAGTACAAAATGTGTAATTTAAAGTGATGAGTTGAAACATCAGCCCATTAGCCACCTAACAATGTTCCTCTTTTATAATAACCTCCGATAAGAAGGAAATTATCACCCAAAAATCTATACCAGTGCAACAATAACTTCCACTGCTATTTATACCAAACGAAACAAATTGATAATATTCACAAAATATACACAGGGCAATTAGCCAAATTGGTATAAAAGTTAGCACCCTTGTGACATATTGGTATAAAAGTTATCGCCGGCGACATATTGGTATAAAAGCTAGCAAGTTGTGACATATTGGTATAAAAGTTAGTTACCGGCGACATATCAGTATAAAAGTTACCAAATTGCAACAAATTGGTATAAAAATTAATAAGTTGTGACATTTCACCCTTCTTTTCTTGCCGAATGAGTTTTTTTTTTATGCTAAATAATTCTCTCCTCCATGCTCATTCATCTAAGATAATCAACAAATAATTAAAAAAAAATTATGAGTTCAAAAAAAATCTCAAATGAATGGAAAGAGAAATTTTTTATAGTTAAATGTCTCAAAAGTTCAAATTGGCATGTAATAAGTTATAATATTTAAGAAGTTGGGAGCAAATATATTTATATAAAATTGAATATTGGAAAAAAAAAAAAAAAGCTCAATATAATCTTGAAAATATTTAATCAAAGCGTTTGATCTTGTAATTTCACTTGATTAATTCTTCTGCATAATGTAGAATATTTCTCTATATTTTCCTATTTTTCCCTTTTACTTTTTTTGAGCTTTTAATAGTGTCTAAAAACTTTACATTCAATATTTGAAGCAAAAATTAAAATTAAAATTAAAAAATTAAAAAAAAAAAAGGTAAAGAAAAACAATAGATTTAAGCTACAAGCAAGAATAAGAATAATCATTTGTACAATATACGCTTATTCTTCTAACAAGAAAGAGGGCTAAATGTAATCACTAATAAACTTTTATACCAATATGTCATTACATGGTAACTTATATACCAATATGTCGCCGGTGACTAACTTTTATACCATCCGTCACAACTTGCTAACTTTTACACCAATCTGTCGCCGGCGATAACTTTTATACCAATATGTCACAAGGGTGCTAACTTTTATATCACTTTGGCTAATTGTCCAAATACGATATTAACTCACATAGTTTCATAAGTTCCAAACCAAGTTATATCAAACACACGACTCAAAAATCATTTACAAAGAACATTTTCAGATCAATTTTACTCCACGATCAGCCTTTATTGGTTAAAATCTCCATAGCATTTCTTCAATAACAAAATTCAATACAAAATTTATATCTACACTAACCGCCTCAATAACACATTGCCAGCATGACAAACAAGTTCATAGAGAACAATTCCACCTCTCTTAGGGGCCGTTTGGTTCGCAGAGTGGTATAGATTTGGAATCAAGAATAGGTTTAAGGTGGTATCGGGTTGTAACTTGATACTTAATACCATGTGTTTGGTTCAATTCAAGAATGAGATATCATCCCCTTAATTTCATATATTTGATACCTAAGGGAATGGAATGAGCCAAACCCACCTTCCCCCCAAGGTTTCTAAACCCCATACTTCATGGGTTTGAGGTATGGGTTTATAAATCATATTTTTGACAACCAAACATGTGGTATGGGTTTTGGTCATTCTAAACCCATACCTAATACCTATAATCCGCGAACCAAACGCCCCCTTAATCTGTCGAAAGCTCACATAACTTCCTAAACATGATTAGAAAGAAGGGAAAAAAATTATAAAGATCAGCAAAAAAATCATACAAGCATGAAATCACTCGCAGAGTTCGAAATACTTTTGAGGAGAAAGTTCAGAGGTCTAGAGCTCTGAAGAACTTCGCTGAGATTATCTGATCCCAACTAAATTGTAATGCTTTGAATCAATGGTAAAAAGTCTGGGAAAAAAAAGAGAGAGAAAATGATGAACAAACCAATGAAAAAAAGAAGATGGAGGTAGATGGGTAAGTGTGGAAGGTTAGTTGGTTTTCATGATAGTGTGGTTAAAGTTAAAGTTTCGTCTCTAATACTTCTGGCTCAAATCATCAATAAGATGATGCAACTTATCTTAATTTAAGGACTGAGTTTTGCAGCTTCTAGCAGGGTGAAACTATACCTTTTAAGCCATATACATATCGATTTCTAACTCAGCTTCGTTTAAATACTACCTCCGTGCCATGTTTTTTGCAACATTGGGGTATTATTTGTGAGATAAAATATTCCAAAGTTGCAAAAAATATGAAACAGAGGTAGTAATAAGATTTGAACTGAGTTTTGTATTTATATAATAAGAGTACCAATAAAAAAGAAAATAAATAAATTCAAAATGTATATAAACTGAAGTTAGAGAGAAAGAAAGAAGGAGTGCACACATTTCTTGGTGCAAGCCGTAAGATAAGAAAAGGTAGCCATTGTAATCTTTATTGCTTGGTGCTAATTATAGACTGTAAATAAATCACAAAATTCAAAAATAATTCACAAGTTTTAGAGTAATCTTGCAATGAAAATAAAGAAACACTGAGAACTTTTTAAGTCAACTCCACTTTCCACCACAAAGGTCCCTAATCACAACATAAATGGCTTAGAGGGTTCTTTAGTGCCACTTTTGTTTTTATAAGGTCCTTTCTCGCAAAGAATCGAATTTAAAAGATCCTTTCTAACAAATTTCCCTTTTTCAAAAACTATAAGAAAAAATAAAATAAAATAAAGGTCAAAGACATAGGCATTGTGGTTGTTGTATGAGCAAATTTTAAAGAGCCATGAAATTAGACATAATACCTATCCAAAATATCAACATCCACCCCTCTAAGCTAATTTCTCTTTTCTTTTTAAGTGGTCTTTGTCAAATGATCTTTCTTAAGTAGTTCCCCCCCCCCCCCACCTCTCTCTCTCTCTCTCTCCCCCCCCCCTGAATTTTATTATGTGATCTATATTGGTCTCTTTCTCCGGATCCAATTGACCCGATGTTCGTAAGTGGTCTCTCTTTTTCTAATTGCATTATTTTCTTAAATGATCTTTCTTATGTGGGTTCACTTTTCTCCCTCTCTTGCATTTCAGTAAGCTAATAGTGTTTTCATAAGCTAATTTCCTTAACTTTCTTAATTGGTATTTCTTAAGTGGCATCATCTACATCTCTCTTCCCTAAGCTAATGCCCTGATTTTCTTAAGTGCTCCCCCCCTCCCAAAGGTAATAGGCATAATTTTCTTAAGTAATCTTTCTTAAGTGCTATCTCTCTTTCTCCTAAGCTAAGTGCTCTGATTTTCCTAAGCAATATTTCCTAAGTGCTATATCTCTCCCTCTCTCTCCTAAGCTAATTATCATGATTCATGAGTTTCTTAAGTTAATTGCCTGATTTCTTAAGTAAATAAAGTAATCTTTCATAAGTGGTCTCTTTATGTAGCATTTTAGTTAGCCTTTTCCTAAGGTAATTGCGTTTTTCTAATCTATAATTGCCTTAATTTTCTTAAATGGTCTCTCTTTCTCAAGTAATCTTTCTTAAGAAATTAGCTTTTGAAAACTATTAAAATATTTTGTTTGATCTTAATGATAATAATACCAATAGCCACCAATAATTTACTCTATATAATCAAGTACAAATTCACACATACTCGTTTCAAGCACAAAGCTTCCAAAAATGATAATAATACCAATGTTCCTCTTTGCATGATGCAGCGTAAATTCTATTAATGTAAGCTAAAGCATTGTCAAAGATATCAAAGTGAAAAAACCTTCAGTTTAGATGTCAGTTTGTTATAAAAATACTTTATTCTGTCTTGACCCAACTCTGTTCACTGTTAATGACTTGTCGAAATTTGATAGAGATTCGATCAACAACCACATTCTTGACATCATCTATGCCTAAGATAAATGCAGCATATACTGAATAATCTTAGAAAACCAGATAGTGATAACAAGAAGTTAACCTGAAGTGTGACACTGTTTATATGTCCAGTTCTTCCTGCCTCGGCATTTAGACTGTAGTTTGAAAAAAAAAAATCAAAGCTGCCACCAATGAAAGCCACACCCAAATTATCATGGTTGCCTCTATGATCATAGAAGATGCTCTTGTCAAGTCAACTCTTCTTGACTACTTCTTCCATCACATCTCGGTATTCCACCCACTCTTGCTCATTCTGTTTTGTGGTTAAAAGACCTTTGTTCTTCCCATCTAGTTGAATAAGAAAACAATATATATCAGTGTATCAGAAAGCTTAAGGTTTACAGAAATTCTAGCTTGCCTGAGGTATTACAAAAGATATTTAACAATTAGAACAAATAGCGATTACCATTTACCAAAATGACCCAAGATTCACAAGCAAAAAAGATTACTACCAAATAAAGTACAAAAAACCTCGACCCAAAATCACAACCAACCACATGCCAATTTTATCTATTCAACCTATAAGCTATAGTCTATTATATCTTCATCAAATTACTCAAATTAAGAAAGTAACCATCACTCATAAATTTTGCCACAATTATAATGAAATTTTTATACCAAACAAAACTATGTCAATTTTTTTAAAAAAATGTCTAGCACTCACTGCATCAGTTCTGTTAGACAAAATTCTACAACCAACCTGAGCAACCTTTGATCCACTATCCCAAAAACATAATTTCATTACATAAGCCTTTTGAGCTTCTATCACAATTGGAAAAGACAAGTAAATTTGGCCAAGAGAGAACAATTAGGACTCTTGCGGTAGGGTCTCAAATTCATTATCACTGATAAAAGATGAGGTGTTGCAACATATCTTGCAAAAGCCCATTATTGCTTGCTCAGAATGGTGTTGTCTAAGTTTATTCTATCTTACAACTAACCACGTAAGCTGGTCTCAGAGGGATTAGCACACTAAACTATAATCAAATGCATCATAAGACTGCCATAAAAACATAGCACCATAGAAAGCTTTTTTGTTTGGCCCCTCCAAACCCACGACAAAACATAATAGTAACAGGTCCAACACAATAAGAGTTATGAGATAGAAGCCAACATGGAACTTACATGGGATATAATCAATGGAAGAGACCTTTCCAGCATAGGCCCAACAAGGGCCAACTTTCATTTCTTAAAACTGCTTACTTCCTCCAGCAACCCAGAAGCTTCCTTTGCACGCTCTCTTTGCTGAAATGTCTCAAGGCAGCAGCCCTGAAATGCTTCACAAAATGGATTGAGCAGTTTGCATTCCAAAAACTTTATTGAAAACAAAAAACTGTTGATTGCTTGTCATCTTTAAATGCAGCCTATAGAGGTTGAGCTCTTCATAAATATCCATATGAGAAAAGAAACCACAAATACAGAATTAAGTTAATATGTGACTATGTGAGGGGGCTATAACATAAGGAAATCAATGAATGAAAACTGAAATATTTCAGAGTAATAACCAGTAATAATTAAACAAAACCCAGTGAATAAAGCATTACAGAAGCATACAAAAATAAGCACATAAACCAAAATCTAATCCCACAAATCATATCAAGAATCATAATTTAGCACCCACAACGGTCAAATAATCACCAAATTATGAAACAATCACCCAGAAATATTATTTGTATAGTTTAGCTTTTGCCTTGATACAATCAGAATTGGGAAATACAGCTATCTCCTGATTTTATTCCTCTTTCCTAACCTTATTATCCAGGGATCAAATTCAGAATTTCAAACTAAATTTGACAGGTCCACTACACATATCAACTTATAAACAAAAAGTAACAACCGGAGAATGACTTTAACCTTCTATAAGAAACAAATTGGATAAAGACATCAGCAGTGGGATGTTCAGCAGAAGCTGCTCCAATGCTGCCAAAAAACAAGGAAAACCAAATGAGCAAACAAAGATAAAGGCTATGTTTGGATAACAAAAAATGGAAGGAAAGGAAGGGAAGGGAAAGGGAGGGAGACAAACTTCCTTGTTTGGATAATATGTTGGGGGAGGGAAGGGGAGAGGGAGGGAGAGAGGGATCCATTTTCCCTCCTCCTTTAATAAAGACCATCCTTTCAAAATTGGTGAGATTTGGGAGGGAAAATGGAGCTCATCATTTCCTCCACTTTCCCTTCCTTCCCCTTCCTCCTATTTCCCTCCCTTCCATTTCCCTTCTAATTTGTTATCCAAACATAGCAAAAGGAAGTTTTGTTCATCCATTTAGACCAACAAAAGTCACAATGTTAGGTACTGAAAATACAGCAACTTTAATTGAAAATGATAGTATAAAACCATGCTATTTGAACTAATACTATCAAATCAAGGAGCCAAAAACTGAATAATAGACAAAGTTCCTTAAGTTTTGGAAAAAACAATGACTGATGCTACTAATGATTTCACCAACCGATATGTTCCTCATTCTAAGTTTGAGAATTTAATCACCAAAAAAAGTCCATATCCATCAAATATCCTACCATATATTCTACACTTCAATAACTTCGGTCCAAAATCTTTTATTCTAGTTGGACAACTAAATTAAGATTCAAGTTGCAAAGTAGGCTGAAAGTACATAATTAAACCGCAAAATATGTAGCGGTTACATTCCTGGAATGAACTAAGCTTACTAATGTCAGATATGTTAAATGTTCTATATTATCTAACAACGATAAGGAGCAAGGAAAACAGCAAGGGACTAATCTTACAAACAGCCATATTACCCAGAATAAAAGGATAACAATAATTAAAACCAAACAAATTGCTGAAAGGAAATTAACCCCCCCCCCCCCTCCCCAATCACTCAAAGAAAGTAAACCCACCTTGTAATGTGGACTGCACATGGCCACCAATTTTTGCATAACGTGATCTGGTAGCAGCATTAAAATCAGGAGTTACAGGTCCAGAATTTCCCCTTGATTGTCCGCCTTGAGAATGGTTAACCTTCTTGTAACTGATCATAATTGCAGGAAAAAAGAAAATTCAGTAACATAATACCCCCTTCAATGAATCAGTTCTCGCAAATTAGAGAGAAACAAATTACGTAGTATCTTTCCATTCCCTCAACACAATCATTCTCCTTATTCTTTAAATATTCTCGTATACATTCATTTATTGTGCTGTTAAAAATAAAAAATTCTAATCAACCCATAAATTTCTCACAAGAGAAAAGCAAAAGCTAAAATCAGTGGCATTTCCGATAAATAACAAAACACATTTAATATGGCTATAAATTCATTAATTCCCAAATACAAAAGAAAATTCAATCATCAATATATCTCCATTCCCTCTGAATATATTTATTTCTCTAAAAAAAAAATCTTCTAGCTTGATATTCTCTCAAGTAAGTCTAACTATGCTATGACAAACCCAAATCCTAATCGATACATCGGTATTTCACAAGTGCCACAATAAATAATAACATAAATGATAAAAACACCCTTCAAGAAGATTTTCAATCAATCCATTCTCTCAAAATAAGTAAAAATTCAAACATCAATCATCCTCCAACCCCCAAAAATCACTCTCTTTTTTGTTATAACCTCACACTTTCTCATGAATGTTGTCTTGATTAATATGCTATGACAATCACCAAATCACAATCTGTATAGAACTAAGGAGCCATCTTTAATGCCAATTTAAAAAGATCAAACTCTTAATATACAGCAATCAGAATTATGGCATGGTAAAAGGGAATTTTATGTTTTTTCAAAAAGTATAGAACGAACATTTAAGCCAGCACAGGTGTTTGTGAAAATTAAAGAGAGTCTAAGGAAAATATATGTGCGGCCATAGCCTAGACATACCTGAGCAAATTCATTGGCAGCATTCTTGGTCCTTATGGATATTTTTTCTTGCCTAGCCCTAACATCGACAACTGCTCCACACATCTCATCTCCATGATCAAACTGCTCCCCTATCATCGCCAACAGCTGGAAATCAATCACCTAGGTCAGAGGCAATATAGAAATATGCATTTAAAAAAACTGTAACATGATCTCAAAGTATACCGTGTAGAACCAAGATGTACCAGATTTTCCTTTTTGGAAGGTAACTGTCCACTTGCCTCCATTAGGACAGATTGGATCCTCCCATTTAGGCTCAATCTTATTGTTGAAACAGTGAAAATCTGCCCCTACAGCCAATTTGTTTGGATGGCGTATGTTGTTGTGAAGGCTGAAATGGAAAAAAAAAAAAGTTAGCGAAATAACATTCAGGATATATCTTAATAATATAATTAGAAAGAACAAAACTTTAAAGTCTACAACATGTTCAAGTTGTTGCTAACTCTTGTTTTCATACTAAGAAAAAATTTCAAACTAAAGTTCAGATTTCTCAAGTATCATTCCAATATGCCACATGCTGAGAGTAAAGACATAAGACAATTCTTTATAACCTACGACATGAACAACTTCGCAATTTTACACTATTAAACTCTATTACTTCATCCACCCCTGTATTTTAAGGCATGAGTTGGCGCACTTTGATGAGCAAAAAGTAATATTGGGACATCAATAACATGGATATCAGAAATGTAATATTCATCAACAACCAAAATTCAATGAATAATTTCTCAAGTAGTGTCACTTAACCAATAGACCTATGATATTGTTCTTGCAAGCAAATCCAATAACCCGGTATTCCGGCAATACGGTTCTTCCAATATCCGAAACGAATGCTCCAATCTGTATGAAAGAGCTAAATCCTTCTCTTCCCCCTAAATATTATCATCAACAATATACCAAATGACAGTTGAAAAAATTGACGATATTAGACTATTAAATCCATAAATATCACAAGAAACCCTCACTAATCCTATCCAATGCCTCAGAAAAATCAAGTTGTTCACATAAACCATTAACCCTGATTCACAAATTCAACATTCCCATTTCTCAATCCAAGCATAATGATCAACATTTAGCTACGCTAATCAAGAAACTAACGCAAGAAATCAAACTAAACAAAATCACACAAGAAAACCTTAGTCACCCACATAACATTTCTCCAAGAAAACGAACTCAAAACCCTAATTCAATCACCCACATCACAAAAAGATTCAAACAAACCAAATTCAATAAATTCACAATCAAATTAATATAAAAAACTAAGATAAAAAGAGAAACTTCCAGAATTCTTCAACGGTAGAGAAAGTGTAAATGGGTCGAATGAGCTACCCCAGCAGCTTGTTTCGATTTAGCAGTAAGATTATTGAACCAAAAAGTCCATGCATTCTCAAGAGGATGAGTTGTTGCGGTTGATTTGCTGGGTTTTTCGGCGTTTGAGTTGTAGTCTATTCAGATCATTCCCAGATATGGCTTGAGCAAGTTTAGGATCACTCTGCAAGTTTTATAGGCCCGCAAAGTTCAGAATAAAAGGAAAAAAGAAGAAACTTATGTATTGGGAGTTGATTTCCCAGCACGAACTTGCTCTTTGTGTGGTCACTTCATGCAAGGAAATTAACTCTCAATACAATACTGCTTCTATGGCAATCAACGAACACATCACAACAATTGATTTATATTTAATTGAACAGTTTGAATCACTAAAATCCTAAATAAAGGTTTACAAGAACAAAGCTTTCAAAAAAATAATTAAGTACCAACAAGTTCGAAAACCATAGCTACAACATTTTAGAATCAAACTGAATTCTAACTTAAAACAGCTACAAGATATCGTAACATATACTTCGTACTTCGTAGTATCATAGCTACAACATTTTCCCAAACTGTCATATAATCTCACACACTGTCACTAACAGATAACATCTAGGTTTATAATAAGTTAATCACCTTCCCAACTCGCATTGAAACAAGAGGAACACAAAAACACCTCGCAAGCAGCCCAACTTCAGATGTTTCAAAGTGATGTTCATTCAATAGACAGAATCAAAACCTAAAAATTAGAATTCAAATACGAAATTCAATTTCAGCAAACATTAAAAATTGTTCTCCCTATCACTCTGTTGAACTTCAATTTCAAGTCTAAAAGAATCACCTGGCTGAGATGAGAGAGAAGGCGATCTTCGACGACGCCAGAAGAAGCATTCGCCTTCAACCTCTCGTCGGCACATCCAAAGCTTGAAGCTCTCCATTACCTTCATCAACTAAAATCGGAAGGCATAATGAAGGCAAGAAAGAAGTTTCCCGTAAAAAAAGAAGGCATAATGAATCGGAAGGAGGAAATTGCTGAGAAGACATCAATTAGTACTCCTTTTACACAATATGTTTCAGTTTTTTTTTTTTTTTTGAGTAAGTATGTTTGAGTTATTTTGCTTACACTTTATATTATTTTGCTTAAATATCGTGTTATTTTGTTACAATAATATGTTATTTACTTCAACTTCAACTCATGCTATTTTTAATTTACATAAAATAACAAGTACTTATTTAAAAATAATATGTATATAAATTGAAATTATAATTTCACATCAAAATAATATTAACAGCGTTAAGTTTTTAGACAATCGAACACTTCAAGAGGTACTAAATTTCTGGACATGAACACATTTGAGCCCTTAAATGGCTTCAAATCAATTGATTTATTAGAAACCCAGAAAATTGGAAGAAGAAAAGAGGAGAGAGAAAGTGTCTTTGATTTAGAGTTGGAGTAGTGAGAGGAAGAGAGAGTGAGTGAGAGTTAGAGGTTGATTTTTGGAAAATTAGAAGAAGAAAGGAAGAGAAAGTATGTGATTTTGAGTTGGAGTAGCTGAGAGAGGGTGATAGAGAGTGAGTGTGGGAGGAAGATGACTCTGGAAAAGGGTGAAATAACATACTCCCTCCGCGTTTTTTAAGTGACACAGTTTGACCGACACGTAGTTTTAGAAGATTTTATTGACATTAATAAAATAAGATGTTAGTGGGGTAGGTTGGAGGAGTGAGAAATGATAAAGTAAAAGAATGTGAGAGGAAGTGGAGACCATGAAAGGAGTGAGAAATGATAATGTAAGAGATAGTGGGGTGAAGATATATTATTAAAATGTAAGGAATTTCTAAAAGAGAAAGTGTGTCACTTAAAAAAAACGATCGATTAAGGAAAGTGTGTCACTTAAAAAAACACGGAGGGGTACATTTATGTAATTTGATTTAAATAATCCAACCTTTAACGTATTTATTTTTAATAATCCAACCTTTTGATTATTATACAATAATCCAAGCTTTGGGGGGTGTTCTATTTTATTAGGCCAAACAGGTCACTTGACCTATAATAATAGGTCACCTGCCACGTGTTGCATTATTATTTGTCCAGATATATAAATGGATCAAATTATGGAGATAATTAAGTTCGTACTTTTGGGTCGTCGTTTTGCCATAGCTAGAGGTACTAACGATCTTTGGACTAGTAAAATAGGTCAAAGCTCAATCGGACGGATCCTATAAGGTCACACAAAGGGGCTAGATCGAGCATTAGAGGACGAGGCCCATCATGGGCCTCATCACTCTAGGTGGCCGGCCATATGGGGATTAAGATGTGGTTTTGGGCTTCGTGCCCTAGTCTAATTATAATGAGATTATAAATAGACTAGGTGTCTAGTTTTGCAAGTACAGAAAATAAGCTATTAACTGATCAGTGTGATCAAACCCTAATTAGCAGACACGAAACCCAAACCCTCTCATAGTCCTCTCTCTCACACGGCTCTCTCTCCTCCTCCTAGGCGTCGGTGGTGTGTCGTGGTGGTGGTGGTTCGTGCGGTGGTCGGTTGTCCGTAAAGGTGGTGATCGCGGTTTTCCTCAATCACTCGACCAATCTAGTATTAGTGGACGGCTCGTTCGAATCTCGTGGACTAAGTAAAGGAGCAACGCTTGGGGCTCTATTCTCTCCCTGATTTGCCTGTCAAATAGCTTCGTGGAATTCACGCGTCATAGGTATGATTATGTGTCTTGTGTGTTATGCATGTGATTCTTGGGATTGGTACTTGATTGAATATGATTCATGTTATTTCCGCTGTGTAGTACCTATAAACTCCTACAGTTACTACACCAAAATGAGTAGGGAAATGTAGGGAATCCACTATTGCTAAAATGCTACTCCGTAAGGAACAGTAAATGTCTTACTTTGACTAGCTTTAACGATTTAGGGTCTATTTTCTTTACCTTATTTTTAGTTCAGTTCTAATAAGTTTAGTTTCAGTTCTTAATTTCCCTCACTCATAAAATATTCAGTTCAACTCCAATAAGTTTAGTTTAGTTCAGCTCAGCTCAATTCAATCAATTAGAACAGGCCCTATGGGATCTTGTTAGATTCATCTCGACTTATACAATTTAATATCTAAGGTTTATAATTTTTACATATTGGTAACTAATGATATTAACAATTGAAACCATGCATCGACAAACGTAGAAAGAGAAGTGTTGCAACTATAAAAAAAAAACAAAGGAAGTATATATCTTCTCCTAGCAACCCCAGCACGCCACCTTATCCTTTACAACTAGTTACCATTCACGTGGCAATTTCCAATTGGTCAATGTTTTATTTTTAATTTTTTAAAAAAAATTCTGAAAAATAAAATAAAAAATAAAAACTTCTACATCCTATTTAGAGGTAGGGAGATGCAGGTAATCTATCATATTATGGTACCATGTAAAAAGGATTTGTAGAAAAGTTAAATATTATATCATATCATATATAATAATTAATTATTAATATATAGAGGTAAACTTTTAGCCAGGTTACAAAAAAAGTTAGTTTAGAATTATATTTGGATAGAATTTTAGGATAAAATTGTTAGTATAAAGTTTTTATTTTCGATAAAATACCAATATTTCAGATGCATAAATTGAATTATAATATTATTAAAAAAAATTATAATTCTAAAAAATTATCATATAAATTTATTTTTTATATCATAATATTTTTTATATGAAATAAACTATACTGTCATTTGAATTATAACTTTCTATTCAATAAATTTAAAAGGTTCTCTTATTGACATCTACCTTTAATCCTTTGTATTATATGTCAGTTCATAAGTTATTGTCATCTTGATATATATGTAGTCTATTTTATAAACTGAAATCATCTTAAAATATATATTGTCAATAAAACTACACTAGTTTGCGGCCATTCATTGAAATTAAAAGATACTCTTACTAAGCTACCATTATACTCACTCTGTTCTTATTTTTTTGTCCCATTAATCTATAAGATTTAATATAGTCATATATGTGAGATCTTGTTGGATTCGTTTTTCTAATTATGACTCCCTCCGTTTGTATTTGTTAGTCCCATATCCTATTTTAGGTGTTCAATTATATCTACATGTATTGAATATATTCAATTTTAACTCCTTGTAAATTGAAGGTAGATTGGTTAATAAAATGTGAAAAAAAAAAAATTTGATTGTGGATTGACGTCATGGCTTTAAGACTAAGGAAATTACTCACTTGAATTATGCAATTATGGTTGATGCTAAAAAAAATCAAAAAACTTAAATAAGACAAAACTAATTATGAATTTTTTTTTTTGTACTTTAATGTTAGATTCTAAAAATTCTTATTTTTTGTGATTAGTTCCATATAAAACTATTATATGAAGACAGAGGGAATATATGATTATAGAAATGGAGATATATACATTTTCACACATGTCTTATAAATCGTGAAAGTCAAATGAAGCAAAAAGAAATAGTGACAAAGCTAGTACTATACTTCATTTTATAAATTAATCACACCTTAAAATATAAATATGTCCTATATCCCAAACTATAGTCATTTGAACTGTAGCCTCTGGTCATTCATAGGTTAGAAAGGTACTTCTATAACTTTATTAGCTACCCTTAAAGTTACTATTATGGCACAGTTTATCAATTATTGTCAATTTAAAAAAATATATAGTCAATAAAATCAGTAATGTTGTCATTTGAACTTGGCTTTTAGCTACCCTTATATTTATATATTAATATATTTAAATTTTTTTTTTGGGTGAGAATATTAATATATATATAATGCAATTTATCAATTATTGTCAACTTAATATAAAATATATGGCCACTAAAATCAATAATGTTATCATTTGAATTATAGCTTTTAGCTTCCCTTATACTCAGTACTATATAGTGTTGTTTTATCAATTACTGTCAACTTACAAAGTATATGTTCACTAAAATCAATTATGCTGTAAGTTGAACTGTATCTTTTATTTACCCTTATACGGAGTATTATATATTGCAGTTTATCAATTACTGTCAACTTATAAAATATATGGTCACTAAAATCAGTATTGTTGTCATTTGAACTACATCTTTTAGCTACCCTTATACGGAGTACTATATATTGCAATTTATCAATTGTTTTTAACTTATAAAATATATAGTCACTTAAATTAGTAATGTTGTCATTTGAATAATAACTTTCGGTTATTCATTGAAATTAAAAGGTACTAATATTTATAGTTATTTCACAATATGTCCAAGTTTTCAATTTTTCACCGCATCTCATAGAGATTTCACAAATATGCACCAAATTAAATACCCTTAATGACTATTGAATGTTAGCTTTGTTAGTAATTCATTATGCCCCAAATCAAGCTATGCCCAGATGCCAGATCCATGTATAACCAAATGATTAATAAAATAAAGCATAAAGTATTCTCTAAAGATTGTACCTTTGAAGTGCATTTGTTAGTTTAAACATAATAAAAAACTGCAAGTGCAATCCCAAAGTCCACCTGCACAAATCAAACCCATCTTGAGTGTATTAGCTTAGAATAGCGGACAATCTAAGATCCCTGAAGGCAATGTTTGGATAACAAAAAATGGAAGGAAAGGAAGGGAATTGAAGGGAGAGGGAGACAAATTTTCTTGTTTGGATAATATGTTGGGGGAGGGAAGGAGAGGGGGAGGGAAGGATCCATTTTCCCTCCTCCTTTAATAAAGACCATCCCTTCAAAATTGGAGAGGTTTGGAGGGAAAATGGAGCTCATCATTTCCTCCACTTTCCCTTCCTTCCTCTTCCTCCTATTTCCCTCCCTTCCATTTCTATTAAACGCGAGTCTGGGCCGCACCCGCAAACCAAGAGAGAGAGTCCACTTCACAAGTCCAAGGAGGTTCCATCCCAAAACCATATGACAATATGAGGAGTAGCCCCTTAGCCTTATAAAGTGTTTAATTCCCTCTTCTTCAAACAATGTGGGACACTTACATGTGGTGACACTTGAGAGGTTTATTCTTCAAAAATTTCCCTTCTAATTTGTTATCCAAACATAGCATAAGTGTGCTTAGGTTTAGGTGTTCTCACTTTAAGGATGTACTAGGTTG